CTGTGACCTTCTTTAAGCTTCCTCGTATTTATTGAGTGACAGTGTTACTAGAGCATTTTCATACATCATTTCACTTATAATCTGTAGTCTTCTTCAAAGCAGGAGATGATTCTATTTTCAGATGCAGTTATCAACCTAGAGGGGTTGTGTGGTGTGTTAATCTGGATAGACTAGAGAAACAAATCCATGGACACACATGTGTGTATGAGAAAGAGATTTATATACAAGAGGAATTAAACATTGAAAAAATATCCCAACCCAGTCCAGTCCAAGGCCATAAGTCTGATATTAGCCTATATGTCTGATACCAATGTATAAAGTCCTCTTCAGACTCACAAAACACATGCAATGAATGATCACAGGCCAGTGGGTAGAAAGTCTTGGGGTCCAGTGGCGTTGTAAGCATCTCAGTTCTGGCAGGGGTCCCTCTGAGGCTTCTCTGACTTCTGAGATCTGGTTGCATCCATGTGGCTTGTCTTCTGCAAGGTCTCCCAGGGAGTGGCAGACAGGGAGGTGTCTTCCGCGTCCAAGGAGGAAGTACCAGATTTCCCAGAATTCTCAGGAGAAGGCCACGCCCACACAGAAGTCCCAGGCTGTGGGCTATCTCCAGACTGACAGCCAACTCCACTCCTGCACTCTTGATCCTTCAGTTGACACCAGATTAGATGACTCCCACATGTGGCATACCCATTCCAAAGAAAAGGGACCCAGCAGAACGCTCCAAATTTGAGGATAATATCGCTCATACCACAGGTAGCAGTACAGTGACAAGGAGCTGCCGGAGGTTCAAGCTGGATTCCGAAGAGGCCATGGAACAAGATATGTCATTGCTGATGTCAGGAAACAAGCTTGGTCGGTAGACGTCCAGAACATGCAGACCTGACCCACCTGCCAGCTGAGCTCATCACACCTAGTTTCCTGGGCCCTGGATCGACTGCTCTCATGCTTCTGTCCCATACTTTAGATTTACCACAATTTGTTGTACTGGAAGGCGTATAGACTGTGGTGAGAAGATCTAAATTTGAATACTGCGTCCGTCATGTCTTAGTTCTCTGAGCTGCTATATGAGAAATTCCATAAGTGTGTGGCTTTCATGGACAGAAATGTCTTCTCTCGTGCTTTAGGAGGCTAGAAGTCCAAATTGAGGGTCAGAGATGATCTCTGCTCGCTTTGGAGGAACGTCCTTGTTTCCTTACAACAGCTATAGGTTTGGCATCCCTTGGAGATTTCTGTGTATCTTGCATCTAGGAGGTTCACAGCACAAGAATGCTTTCTTGGCGGTTCTGAAATCCCTCTGATCTAAAGAGATCAACTTAAGATACAACCTAATTCTGTAGATTGTATCCTGCCTTATTGTCATAACTGCCAAATTGCATCATGATATAACTGCCAAACCACTGCCAATCATGGCTGAGCCAAACTGACACATATCTTGAGGAGGCACAATTCAATCCAGGACAGTCACTGTTGTTGCTGTTATTGCTAGGTGGCATAGAGTTGGTTCTGACCCATAGTGGCCCCGTGGACAGTAGGACAAAACACTGCCCAGGCCTACACCACCCTCATAACTGCTCTCATGGTTCAGCCCATTGTTGCAGCCCCTGTGTTGCCCCATCTCATCAGGGCATTCCTCTTTGTCACTGCCCTTCTAGCAAGCATGATGTCCTTCTGTAGGGGTTGGTGTCTCCAGACAACACGTCCATCCTTGTCTCTACGGAACATTCGAGTTGGACTCCTTCCATGACAAATGTGTTTGTTCTTTTGGCAGTCCATGGTGCTTTCAATATTCTTCTCCAGCACCATAATTCAAATGCATCGATCCTTATTTGGTTCTCCTGATTCAGTGTCCAATTTAACATGCATAGGGGGTAAATGAAAATACCATGGCTTGGGTCAGGCACGTTTTAGTCCTCAAAGTAACCTTACTTTTCAACACTCTAAAGCAGTGGTTCTCAACCTTCCTAATGCCGCGACCCTTTCATACAGTTCCTCATGTGGTGTGACCCCCCAGTCATAAAAATTATTTTTGTTGCTATTTCATAACTGTGATTTTGCTACTGTTATGAATCAGGCGATCCCTGTGAAAGGGTCATTCAACCCCTAAAGGGGTCATGCCCCACAGGTTGAGAACCGCTGCTCTTAAGAGATCTTGTGCAGCCTGTTTGCCCAGTGTTTGATGCCTTGACTGCCGCTTCCATGAGTGTTGAGTGTGGATCCAAGTAAGACAAAATCCTTGACAACTTCAGTCTTTTCTCCCTTTACCATGATCTTACTTATCAGTCCAGTTGTGATGATTCTGATCTTCTTCACATTGAGTTGTCGTCCATTCTGAAGGCTGCAGTCTCTGATCTGCATCGGCACGTGCTTCTGGTCCTCCCCACTGTCACCATGCAAGGCCGTGTATCTGTATCTCAACGGTTGTTAATGAGCCTTCCTCCAATCCTGATGCCACATTCTTCTTCATACAAGCCAGCTTCGCTGATGATTTGCTCAGCATCGAGATTGAACAAGTATGATGAGAGAATGCAACCTGTCCTGGTGTTAAACAATGAAGTACGCCCTTGTTCCGCTCTCACAACTGCCTCTTGATCTGTGTACAGGTTCCACATGAGCACCATTAGGTGTTCTGGAATTCCCATTCTTCTCAAGGCTGTCCATAGTTTGTTACGATCCACAGAGTCAAATGTGTTGGCATAGTCAACAAAACACAACTAAATCTTTATGGTATTCTCTGCTTTGAGCCAAGATCTACCTGGGGTGTCCCTGTCGTGTGCTATCTGGCGCATGCTGCCAGGTGAACACGGCTTCTTCAGAGAGGCATATTAAGGTGAGCATGACCCTCTCCCAAAGGCAGTTACACCAGCTGTGCCAGGTGCTGGGTTTTGGAAGCAGTGGTGAGCACTGGGGCAGGGAGCACACTAGGGTCTATTATTGGATAATCAAGCCTTGTTGGCACTAGGCTGTGTGTGGATGTTCGGGGGATCCTTTCTTAAGAGGTGGGTCATTCTGAAAGACATTATGAGAGCTGGTGGAGCCTGGCCGAGTAGGGAAGCCAGGAGAAAAGTGTGTTTCAAGAAGAATGGTATCATATGAGAAAGAAAGGGTCACCGAGAGGAGGGCTGAGCTAAGGCCCGAATGGGGCCATGGAGGAAGGCACCCATGGGCTCTCTGGGGGTACGAACGAAGTGACGGCCATCTGCGGCAGGACTGGAGAGTACTGACACAAAGGAAGGCTTTGGGCTGACTTTACACGATGCCTGGTCATCAGAGGGGATGGTGAGCAACCCAGGGAGGGTCCCCTTGGGATTGGAGCAGTTACAAAGGGAGTTTCAGGTTAAGCAAGGGAACCAAGGCGGAGGAATGACTCTGAAGACGCCAGCGAGAGGAGTCGATTGGTGGAATGTGGTCCTAGATAGGTGGTAGGTAATAGGATTCCTCACATGGAGAGACTCTTTCCTTAAGAAAGAAGGGAGGAGGGGCTAAAAAGGCTGTTGGTAAAGCAGAAATTTGAAGGGTGGGCATTTTAAATACTTGCCATTGGTGGCTGGTAGGTCCAAATGCTTACTATTCTGCATTGCCTGGGGGATAGACTTGCTTTGGCATGAAAACACACACACTAGCAGGCATCGGTTCAAGTTCCTAACTTGGCCTCCTCCTGACAATGGCCTTGAACAAAATTACTGAGCTTCACTTTACTTATCTTGAATTGGGACTGTGATACACGTCTGCTCTGATGGTGCCCAGAGTCTGCTTCCACCACCACCTCCCCACTCCCCCTTACCCTTACCCCCCAGTTACAGAATCTTGAGAAATTCAGAGGTGGTCACTTGTCAGCAGCTAGAAGCCCACCATGGTAGAGCATTTCCAGGCCCAAACTCACGGCCATGGAGTCGATGCTGATTCATATCGACAGGGTAGAAATTGCCCCTGTGAATTTCCAAGACTGTAACTCTTTAACCCAAACCAGACTCATTGTCACTGAATTGATGTTGATGCATAGAGACCCTATATGGCCGAATAAAACTGCCCCTGTGAGTTTCCGAGACTGTAATTACGGGAGTAGAGAGCCTCTCTTGCTCCCCTAGTTTGAACGGCTGACTTCACAGCAGCCTTATGCATGAAAATCAGCAAATGCTACACTATGTGCTGCCTTCCCCTCTGTCTCAGCTTCCTAGTGCAGCTGTAACGGAAATACTACAAGTGGGCAGCTTTAAAAACAGAAACGGATTTTCTCAGCATTTGGGAGGCTAGAAATTAAAATCCAGGGCAGTAGAGCAGGGGAAGGCTCTCCCTCTGCGCTCTGCAGGGAGATGCTCGTAGGAGCGGCTGGAGGCCAGGCCTTCCTCTGCTCTTGGTGATGCTCCTCCGGCATCCATCACCCCTTGAGTGTACTTGCTCCTGAGCTGAACCTCTTCTTTTTGTATCTCAGAAGTGATTCGGTCGAAGACACACCCTGCCTATAGTGATACGGTCTCATTAATAGAACAGAGAAAATTCCATTCTCAACTGAGGTTACATCCACAAGTATGCAGATTCCTATTCTAACACATGTTTTAGAGCACAAGTGGGGCAGGGAGCATAATTCAGTCCCTCCTCCTTCTGCCCCCAAAGACCATTTCACCGAGACACCCACCACAATCACTACCTGCTTCATCATGAGAGAATCGTTGTGAAACACCTTTTCAAACAAATGCAACATAGCGAAATATACAGGGCTTTTATTATCAAACCTATGGCAGGATGATTTTCCATATATAAATTAGGATTGCCTTTTGCGCCCTCCTCTTCCCAACAGGTCTCCTTGAGCGCTCCTGATGCCAAGGAGTTTTGCAGGGCAGAAGGCAAAGGTGCTCGAAGCCAGTGGTTATTCTAGTCATAATAAAGCACCACCCTTGGGGCTATCAACAAAGGCTTTGGGAGGAGATTCCTGAAGTAATTCCCTTCAGACCAGGAAAGTTAGTGAGGTCTCTGGGTCCCACAGGAGGCAGAGGAGCCTTTGCCTGGCGCCATGACAGCCCCTTGGGACGCACAGACCTCAGCAGGAAATGGCTGCCCAGGGGTCCGCAAGAGGACGGCCAGACACGACACGATTAGTGCGGATGTGACAAGATACTCCGACACGCGCTCTTCATCACAGATGGAAGAAAGGATGAAGTCGAGGAGCTGAACAGACATTTTCGAAAAGACAAAGCCTAATGTTATGACCAAATGTGCCAGGACCTACAATTAGAAAACTAAAGGGGAAAACACGCTCAGCTTATCGGAAATGAAAGAACTCAAGAAAACATTCAAGCCTCGCATTTCCATTTTGGAAGATTCTAAACTCAAAATGTTAAATATAGAGACGACGGAAATGCAGTCACTGTCCCCAAAAGAACGGTTCTGCAGTCACCTTTTCAGGAGAACCAGTAGTGCTGAAGGAAGAAGTTCAGACTGCTCTGACGGCAGTCACCACGAACAAGGCTCCAGGAGTAGATGGAAGACCCACTGAAATGCTTCCGAAAGCTGAAGAAGCACTGGGAGCACTCGGTCGTCTCTGCCAGGAAATTCGGAAGACAGCTACCTGGCCAATTGACAGGAAGAGGTCCATAGTTGTACCTATTCAAAAGAAAGGTGACCCAACAGAATGCTCAAACTATAGAACAATGTCATTGATATCACACGCAAGTACACTTTTTGCTGAAGATCAGCCAACAACGGTTGCAGCAACATCTTGGCAGGATACTGCCTGATGTTCAGGCCAGCTTCAGAAAAGGATGTGGAACAAGGGCCATCATTGCTGATGTCAGCTGGATCTTCGTTCAAAGCAGAGAATCCCAGAAAGATGTTTACTTGTGTTTCATTGACTATGCAAAGGCATTCCACTGTGTGGATCATCATAAACTGTGGGTAACCTTGAGAAGAATAGGAATTCCAGAACACTCCAGTGTGCTCATTTGGAATCTGTACATGGATAAGAGACAGTTGTAACAAAACAAGGGAACCCTGCATGGTTTAAAATCAGGAAGAGTTTGCATCAGGGTTGTAGCCTCTCACCAAACTTGTTCAATCTGTATGCTGAGCAAATCATGAGAGAAGCTGGATTATCTGAAGAAGAGTGTAATATCAGGATTGGAGGAAAGCTTATTAACAACCCGTGGTATGCAGATGATGCAACGTTGCTTGCTGAAGGTGAGGAAGACTGGAAGCACCTGCTGGTGCAGCTCAAGAATTATGGCCTTCTGTGTGAATTACAACTCAATGTAAAGAGATCACAATCCTCACAACGGGACCAATAGGTAACATCGTGGTAAATGGAGAAAAGGTTGAAGTTGTCAAGGATTTCGTTTTACTTTCATCCTCAATCAATGCTCATGGAAGCAACAGTCAAGAGACCAAAAGATGGATTGACTTAGGTGAATATATTGCCCACATCTCTTAGAGTACTGAAGAGCCAGGATATTACTATGAGTACTGAGGTGTGCCTGACCCGTGCCATGGTGCTCTCCATTGTATCATATGCATATGGAGGTTAGACACTGAATAAGGAAAACCGAAGAAGAATCGATACATTTAAGTAATGGTGTTGGAGAAGAATATTGAAAGCATCATGGACTGCTAAAAGGACAAACCAGTCTGTGTTGGATGAAGTAAGTCCAGAGTGCTTCTTAGAGACACAAGGATACAAGACTTTGTCTTACATACTCTGGATATATTGTCACGAGAAACCGGTCCCTGGAGAAGGACATCATGTTGGGTAAATTGGAGGGGTGACGAACAAGAGGAAGGCCCTCAATGAGATGGACTGACATAGTGGCTACATCAAAGGACTGAGGCATGGGAACAAATGCGAGGAAGGCACAGGCACGTGCAATGTTTCCCTCTGCTGCACACAGAGTTGCTGTTGGTTGAAGCTGACATCTAACAACAACGTCGCAACCGGCATGGCCTTCCACAGGCTCTTCTTTCTGATCCCCCACTGCACAGAGACTAGGAAATGAGGTCACATCGGGTACGTGCGAGACCCCCTAGCTTGCCAGCCTCCTACCTCACGGCCGCGAGGCCCTCTTGTACTGGGTCACTGCTTGTGCGAGTCACTGCTCTCAGGTGAGCCCAAAGCTATGGCTTCCTCTCAGGTGTTTCATTCTCCCGATCCAGAAGTAATGGACTTCAATGTAAACCAACCAGGGGTCATTCTTGCATAAGGTAGCCTTCCTGCTAGCACAGTAGACACACTACCACTGTCAGATTTCTGGGGGAAAGAGAAAGTGACAGGGGAAAGGATTTTACAAATCTTTTGCTGACAGCGAGCCTTTGAGGACGGGAACTCCCAGCTTCATCCTAGATGCCTGTGCCGCCAAAGACCAGCATCTGGGGTCTTGAAGGCTGGTCTTCAAACAAGTAGCCATCGAAGTGCGGCAACAACTAAATCCACATGGAAGAAGCCCAGCAGCCTGTGTGACTCAACTGTAAAAAAATAAAACCCAGATCTGAAAGAGGGAATAGTAACAGAGCTTAAATTGTGAACGCCCCGTTTGCAGAAGGCTGTGGATGCCATGTGGAAGTGCAAAATCCATTTGCAGGGTCCCCGCATGGATTGAGTCTCCAGTGAATCCCCGCTGACCATAGTTACGAGATGGGATAGCC